AGGAGAGATCTAGCCAGATTGCTACCGTTGAATTTCTATCTCTGCAGGGAAATGGTGTTCAGTCTTCCAAGGACACTCAGAAGATAGTGGCACATGGCATAGTTTGCGACACCAATGTTTCATTTTTAGTTGACTCTGGAGCCGCTAGCACAATCATGAGTTCAAAGGTCTACCAGAATATACCTAAATGCAAAAGGCCCCAGCTTAAGCCGCCTAAGAAGACCATTTTGCAAGCAGGTGGGCAACTCTTGCATATGAAGGGTGTTATACCAGTTAGCTTGAAAATTGACGGGCATGTAGAGAACTTGGAGGTGGTCGTGGCTGATATTCAATTTGAGGGAATTTTGGGCACAGACTTCCTAGCTGCCTCTGGAGCTGTATTGAACTATCGCCAGTGTAAAATGACTTTTGAACCAGAGAATCCGGGAAGTTTTGATGATCACCAAGTAGACTCAGGAGTGCCTAAAAATGGAGAGAGTGAAGTAAAACACAGACAGGGAGGTCGACGTGAAAAATTAAGGCCGAGAGACAGATCACCACAACCCAAAGGATCATCTAAGAGGACAGCTGCGGATCGAACTGATTTTTCAAGTTTCAGAGAGCAGAGACATAACCAGGATAAGAGGTGGTGTAAAGTTCTTGGGTTCCGTGAATCCTACCATAGAAATCCTAATCAGGTTGATGAACATAGAACATCTCTAGCTAAAGTCCCTTTAGCCAAAGTTTACAGAGGGAGATATGTGAGGACTTACCCTGAACGTGACATAGATGGTGACTGGAGGGACGTTGTTATTCCCCTACAGTGAAGCCCTAACTTGAGAGTTGGGCCTTGAACAAGACATTTAGCATGAATGTAATTTTATATTCATACCTAACAATTAGCTGAGAGTTAAAACTGAAAAGGTTTTTGTACATAGTAGTTAGACATTTGTATTAAGTAAATAGTTAGATATTTAGCGTTACGTTTTGAGATACCAAAGTTTAATAAGTTTAAGGTACAGAACTTTCATTGTGCATTGTAGATGCAGCTAGTTAACCCCGGGGTTAGGTATATTTGCCAGGTTATATTTTTAGAAAACGTCTAGTTAGGAAAAATTTGTTATTTTTTTTTGTACTTAGGCTTGGTGTTGTAAACACCAAAATCATTGGATGGGAGGAGTGTAACAAATTTTTAACTTTTTCAAATTCTTATTTTTTCATTTTTGGAGTCCAGTACCGTTTTTAGCACTTCAGACAGTTTAGATAGTAGGAAAGTGTTTCCCAGTCACAGTTGACAGCTTATATACTTACATATTAGGTATAGAACACTTTAGGTGTACTGGGAATCGTGTAAACTACTCTTTTTTGGGAGATTTATTTTGTTTTCGTTTGTGTACATTTTCTCTCCTCCTATTAGAGAGCTCTGTTGACCTACATTCAATTACTCGTTTTTCCTTGCAATTTCACCATAATTAGAGCCAATGATGATTGGTTTTTGTTATATTTATTTAGTTTATATCTTAATCTAGTTAGTTAATTACAAGATATGTGTTCGTTTTGTGTTAAACAACGGAGATCGTGACTGCTAGGTGAAGCCAATTATTTTGCAAAAGTTATGTCATCATTGGATCATACTTATTTATTCGGCACTAGTGTTATCCTGCCTGGGATTCTAGTGACGGGCCAGGTATCAGAGTATTGCATCAGCCCATTGATCACTTGTTAGGTTCGTGTGCAAAACCTGTCTGGGGTATAAATACAGAGCACGGATCGCTCCTAGGAGACACGTAGGCAACTTTTCATTGGAACACATCTCCCGTGCCAGTGTTTCATTTGAGGATTGATGAGAAACTTAGAAGATTTGCTGGATCGAGGAACTTTGTCATTTCCAGACATAATTTAGATAACTCCAGCCTGATTGAAGAAATACTGCTGGACCGAGAAACTTTGTCATTTCCAGACATAATTTAGATAACTCCAGCCTGATTGAAGAGATACTGCTGGATCGAGGAACTTTGTCATTTCCAGGCATAGTTTAGAATATTCCAGCCCGTTTGATGAAATACTGCTGAACCGAGAAACTTTGTCAATTCCAGGCATAGTTTAGAATATTCCAGCCCGTTTGATGAAATACTGCTGAACTGAGAAACTTTGTCATTTCCAGGCAAAGTTTTAGAATATTTCAGCCCGATTGAAGAATTACTGCTGGACCGAGAAACTTTGTCATTACCAGACTTAGTTTATATTATTCCAGCCTGATTGAGAAGGAGTGCCATCAACTTGTATTTTCAGGTGTTATTAAGTAACTTGTTTTTCTATTGTTAACTTGAGAAACTTTGCCATTTTCAAGATCAAGAAACTTATTTAGCAATTAATGTTTTTCTATTGTTAACTTGAGAAACTTTGCCATTTTTGAGGTTGAGAAACTTACATTATTATTTTCATAATTTAGTTAACTTGAGAAACTTAGCCATTTTTAGATTAATTATATGTCATCAATTTGCTGACAGAAGAAATACTGCTGGACTGAGGAACTTTGCCATTTCCAGACAAAGTTCATAATATTCCAGCCTGATTGAGGAACTTTGCTGGATTGAGAAACTCTGTCACTTCCCGACATAGTTTATACAATATTCCAGCCTGACTGAAGAAATACAGCTGGACTGAGAAACTCTGTCATTTCCCGACATAGTTGATACAACTCCAGCCTGTTTGAAGGACTCTGCTGGATTGAGGAATATTACAGCCTGATTGAGGAAATACAGCTGGACTGAGAAACTCTGTCATTTCCCGACATAGTTTATACAATATTCCAGCCTAACTGAAGAAATACTGCTGGACTGAGGAACTTTGCCATTTCCAGACAAAGTTCATAATATTCCAGCCTGATTGAGAAACTTTGCTGGATTGAGAAACTCTGTCATTTCCCGACATAGTTTATACAATATTCCAGCCTGACTGAAGTAATACTGCTGAACTGAGGAACTTTGCCATTCCCAGACAAAGTTCATACCATTCCAGCCTGATTGAGGAACTTTGCTGGATTGAGAAACTCTGTCACTTCCCGACATAGTTTATACAATATTCCAGCCTGACTGAAGAAATACAGCTGGACTGAGAAACTCTGTCATTTCCCGACATAGTTGATACAACTCCAGCCTGTTTGAAGGACTCTGCTGGATTGAGGAATATTACAGCCTGATTGAGGAAATACAGCTGGACTGAGAAACTCTGTCATTTCTCGACATAGTTGATACAACTCCAGCCTGTTTGAAGGACTCTGCTGGATTGAGGAATATTACAGCCTGATTGAGGAAATACAGCTGGACTGAGAAACTCTGTCATTTCCCGACATAGTTGATACAACTCCAGCCTGTTTGAAGGACTCTGCTGGATTGAGGAATATTCAAGCTTGATTGAGGAAATACAGTTGGACTGAGAAACTCTGTCATTTCCCGACATAGTTTATACAATATTCCAGCCTGACTGAAGTGAGAATAAGTACCAGAAACTTAGCTCATTTGGAGGAGCTGTTGAGGAACTTGGAATATTTTTGCTCAACCTGGATGACTTAATGGAAACTAAGTACCAGACACTTAGTTATTTAGGAACTACTGGGAATCTTAGGCAGATTCCACATATTGAGGAACCTAGAGGATCTTCATCGCTGTTGCCTGTTGGGGACGTTGAATAGTGTCACCCCCGACTTGGATGACTTTGATGGAAACTAAGTACGAGACACTTAGTTTATTTAGGAACTACTGGGAATCTTAGGCAGATTCCACATATTGAGGAACTTATAGGATCTTCATCGATTTAGAAGCTACTGGGAATCTTAGGCAGATTCCACATATTGAGGAACTTAAATGATCTTCATCGATTTAGGAGCTACTGGGAATCTTAGGCAGATTCCACATATTGAGGAACTTAAAGGATCTTCATCGATTTAGGAGCTACTGGGAATCTTAGGCAGATTCCACATATTGAAGAACTTAGAGGATCTTCATCGATTTAGGAGTTACTGGGAATCTTAGGCAGATTCCACATATTGAAGAACTTAAAGGATCTTCATCGATTTAGGAGCTACTGGGAATCTTAGGCAGATTCCACGTATTGAAGAACTTAGAGGATCTTCATCGATTTAGAAGCTATTGGGAATCTTAGGCAGATTCCACATATTGAGGAACTTAGAGGATCTTCATCGATTTAGGAGCTACTGGGAATCTTAGGCAGATTCCACATATTGAGGAACTTAAAGGATCTTCATCGATTTAGGAGCTACTGGGAATCTTAGGCAGATTCCACATATTGAGGAACTTAAAGGATCTTCATCGATTTAGGAGCTACTGGGAATCTTAGGCAGATTCCACATATTGAGGAACTTAGAGGATCTTCATCGATGTTGCCTGTTTGGGACGTTGAATAGTGTCACCCCCGACCTGGATGACTTTGATGGAAACTAAGTACGAGACACTTAGTTTATTTGGGAACTACTGGGAATCTTGGGTAGATTCCACATATTGAGGAACTTTGCCATTTCCAGACTTAGTTTAGATAACTCCAGCCTGATTGAGGAACTAAGTTGATTCCAGACTTAGTTATTTTATTTCAGGCCAGCTTGAAATTTGCCTTCATTGAGAGACTGTTATTCCAAGGCATAATCACTGAAGCTGTAATGAGAGACTGTTATTCCCAGATTTATACCTAACTGAATTGAACAAGTCCAGAGCGCAAGAGACAATTGAGAGTACAAGTATTTTCGTATAGAGGACTCTAACATTAGTGCTTCGAAAACTATCATTGCATATCAAGAACTTTTATATAGTGCCTCAGTAACTGAAAACATCTATTTCCATGTATTAATTTGATGGGCTATAAATGCCACAATATATGTGTTATATATAAAATTGTATATGAATGTTATGTACAGATTTCCCATGTGTATATTTAACGTATACCCTGAGACCCACAGTGACACAGTCTATTAAACAACATCCACACTACCATAATTAGGCTGAATGTTACAGTATCTTATCCTTAGGTGGGGAGCAGTTTTCCAAAGCATTGTTTTCATTTTCATCAACATTTTCTTCGCCATTTTGTCCTGGAGTGATGAAAACGTTGTCGTCTGATGACATGGATGGATCCTCGTCAAAATAGTGGAACGGTTTTAAGTAGAAGCTAAGAGTATTGCCTGCAGTTGTTGTTACCGGGACATCAGTAGCGGAAGTAGGAAGGTGTTGTAGCCCGACTGTGACCCATGCAACCAAATCCTGAAATAATGTACATTTGTTGTGCCGAAGTGATCAAACGTGATCTATGTACATTTATAACACGAAAATACAGTAATTATCAAGGGAACCATCTTGCTACCTAATGGAACATTCCAGTAAAATATTTTTGAGGGAATGCGTACTTATTTGAAGTAAAATATTTTAATAAGAATTTATTAGGCTGTCAAGGATTATAAGAAGCCTTCGCTAAAATATATAAGTTTAAAAGTCTGCGAATTGATCAAATTAGGAGAAGACGTCCCGTAATAATAGCCAGAATGTTGTCAGTTGTAGGTAAATCTGTTTACAAATAATACGAGTATAGTATTCTGATTGTTGTCCGAAATCTTCACTAACTTTATTCAATCTTTACCTAGAAATAATACCATACCACGATATAACACTGTTTAATTTGTACAGCAAAATATGGTAGGGTTTCTTGGAAAGATGTCTATTCGACACATCTTTCTCCTAAGTTCAATTAAAGTGGTGCGAGTAGAAATAATCTTGATTAACGTCATTAAAAATTAAAAATCCAGTCAAACTGATGTCATATTTGGAATCTACATGTGAAATTACATCTAGAAATGTGGTTTTGAAAAGAGTTTATCAACTTTGAAAATTTAATTTTCTTTGAAAATGTGACTTCTAGGTCGGGGAGATTCCTCATAGACCCCATGTTGTAAAATCACAAAAAGTGAAATATCATTTCTTGTATTGGGCAGATAAAATTTTCCTTTACTGGACATATTTTAATTTGTATAACTATCAGATACATAAGGGTAATATGAAAAGTGAACCACTAAAACTGATGAATATTCAAGTTTAAGGGAACTTTGTAATACCCTGCCATGTTATTTCCCCCGAATCATCCACCTGGTGGCGAAACTGGTTACTACCAACTCGCATCTGAGTAATTTAGAAACGTACCTCATCCGTTATATTTTCATTATCTGATATATACGAGTCAAAATTCAAAACTGGATCTAATTGGTTGAAGGAATTGTAGATCGTTGAACTCGTGTCCTCATCATCCTGAAAAGAGCAGAACATTTAATGTGGACATATTATCATATAGTACTATAATATCATATAACTTACTTACTAGGTATTTGAACTGGCTATGCATCGATCAATCAATGGCAGTTTTGCAATTCATGATATACTCTACGCCCAAGAACATTGCTATTGATTAAGCTTAATAACTATTTTCTAAAAGTAACCTATCGGACAGCCAATCATATTGTCCCTTTAAAAAAATGTGCAATGGCTTGACGGTTTCCAAATGAAGATATCAAATATAATTATTAGATAGAAATGATAATCCTCAAAATCATAGGATATCATATAAATATCACACAACCTTACAGCTTCTATAATTAATGAGTACTTTCGGATATAATTAATCATCATTACTATTTTAAATAATCAGTCTAAATGTTTATAGCATTTTTATGTACAGCGGTGTATATCGTAGTTAACTTTAACAGATACAAACACAAGACAAAATGAATAAATGAAGAGTATGGCTATGCTTACGTGATATCGTGTAACCGCTAACTGATATTTTGCCCATGCCACCGATCCCATTTTAGACCATTTATCTGGGAATAAGAATTTGCTTGCTCCTTGGTTGTCTAGATAATACGCTTTGTTGTATTTCAATTTACTTTTAGGCGCATTGTTGTTGTAAAAAATGTTAAACTTAGGTTGAGAGTATTTAAACCTATAGTTAGCTTGATTTTCCGTTGTTTTAAGATACGTTTTTATATATTGTTCGTATGATTCATCCCGTATATTCTTTCCTACTTTATGAGTTGTCGGTCTGATTTTCACAGCCAGTGTTTCGTGTCTATTGCTCCTTCCTTTGATGTCCAAATCAACTTTGAAATTGAAAAGATGTTGGTGAAACGTAGTAAATATATTTTCATGTATTTGAAATCCATATTTTCCTCTTTTCGCTGTGCTGTCTTTTGTGAACTCAGTTACTACATAACCAGATGCCGAGACTTTAGTGCCTAGGACTCCATTCTGATAGAATATAAAATCATAGATGTAATCATAGTTGTCAATAGTTTGCATTGTTCTAAGAACCAATGCGTTGTTTGGCATGCCAGCGTAGAATGTGTAACTTCCATCTAATGTATGTTCATAATGGCGTTTCAAAGGTGGACCATCAATGTCCTCAAAAATGCAAAATGCGTTCGGAATCACAACGCTTGTGCCAAAAATGTAGTTGTATATAGTACTATTGAAATAGGTTGAACCTTTAGGACAGTCAACACCAGGAGCCATTGGGGAAATAAGGTTCCCAAGAAGAACCTCACCGTCAAGATATACGTTGGCCTGATGGCTCATCGGGGTATTGCCTGAGTACGATAACAATGCCTCCTGAAGGCTCAGCTCATAAACAATTCTTTCTTTTCTAAATCGAATGTCAAATAATTGTGGGCCCGTCGATTGCCGATTGGAGTATTCGAATTCCCAATTATTATATGTCACTCGATTCCCTTCAATTGCAAAGCGTCTGCCATCTTGAGGAAAGCAATCGGGTCCCCTCTTTTTGCTAGATTTAGAGTTCTTTTTAGCACGTTGTTTCATTGAAGAAAATATATCAGTATTACTTAAGGGTATGGTCACCCTAGTTACTGTTCCATTGTTATATTTTCTCATCAAATCGTCAGAGGAATCGAAAAATTGATCATTGTACCACACTTGGAATACTTTCCAACTTGTAGAATGGGAACTTGTCATATTCAATAGCATCTGAAGAGGTAAAGGATACAAACGGTCTGATCCTAATGAAATATCAACCTTACGTCCAAGGTAAACCCACATAATACGACTGTGTTCAAGTACAGTCGGTCTCAAAAAGTTATACGAAATGCAGCGTTTACGGCAGTCGTCTTCCATATGAAATTCATCAAAGCTTTCCTGCAATAGTCTTTTCAATTTGCGTCCTTCCTTGTGAACGAGCGCATCTATTGCTGAAGCATCAGATGGTGTGAGAAATGTGCGATCTGTAAATTTCAAGTCCCTGCGATTCCATCTTGGATTTTCCGCTCTAAAATGGTATTTTAGATTTGGCAATGGTCCTACCGTGTATTCTGCGATTTCTAGAGGCGAATACAAAACCACTCTTGCTTCTCGTATAGGCACTGGACCATTACGATCGATATGTTCCAAAACATCTTCCTTTGAAGTGGTTTTCTTTTCAATTACATATGCGAATGTATCTGACAAGCCTGAGTTTGTTGACTTTGTTGTATTCAGTTCTTTCTTAATGTACCGTAACACTTCGCCTATTTCGGAACTTGTAAGTTCGCTAAATATGGACGGATGCTTTACTGGTTTAAAGTTGATTTCGTCGGAGCATGTCTTCCCGCTTGATGGATTTATAGCAATGCAAAATGTGATAATAAACATTATCCCGAGATCACGTTGTAGGCCTATCATCATTCTTTAGTGTGCAATCAGAAAATTAAAAATATCAAAACACATGTGGTGTATAATGCAATTTTTTTTATAATGTATAATGTATAATGTAATCCTTGTGTAAGTTATAATAATGTGTTTTAGAAATGCAGTCATGTTTCAATTAATTGCCATTTACATTAACATTAATCAATCACATACTATATACGTGATAAAAATGATCTCTTTCAATCAATTACTTTTTCATTCCATCATTGTGTTTATTTATTTTGAATGAATCGATTTAGTTTCATAAACAGATACTTGTTTCATAAAGCTGTAGCGTTTTTGGTATATGCGCTCTTTGATTGGCTAAAGCAGGAGGAGAAAACTGAATTGGTTTGTTGTTGGTTATATAATAATGACGTAATTTTATTATTCGCGGATATGTACGGTCGTAATTAACGCGCGTAATCATGAGAGGCAGAGCCAGGAACCCCTCCCTGGAGGAGCCCTTGCTGGGTTCTTTTTTTGCATTCGTACATAGTCATACAAGTACACACCACAGCCTTTGTACGAGTTGCGGACCACTCAGTCAAACACCTTGAAGTTTTACGCAAACAAGCAAATTAAGTCTTTCCTGAACCGGGGATCGAATCCAGAACCAATTGCGCAAGAGGTACATGCGCTACCGCTGAGCTATACGAGTGGTTATATCAATCCTTTTTGCCGATATGGCTAACTAACCATGCATGTGTGGTGGTGGTCGAGAATTGAAGCCTTAACACTTAAAAATATAATATGAATTTAGATATGCCTACACGTCTCACGAAATTGGGGATAAGCGTAACATTATGTCGTCAAATTACCGAAACAAAACAATGGGCAGTATATGGCGCAAATAGACTTTTAACGTCAAAAACGACAAGCGTTACATTTCGTCAAGTTTAGTCAACCTAAAAATAAAATGCTTTTTTCTTATCCAATCTTGATGACATTCACAGAGTAACAAGATCTCGAGAACAATATTTCTATAATGTTTTTGATTTTTGAAAAACGGTCAGGAAAGGAAGATGTGCATTTTGGGGCTAATACCCCTATGGTCAAAATGAATCATTCTTAGGTGTGGCGTGAAGAATAGAATTTTTTTTTTAATAGAATAGAATTTCATAAAATTATTTGAAAAGTATTAAAGCGCTTTGGCACACATTGACTGAGATAGAGACCATTTAGTTCAGTAAGGTTGTATTGACTTACATGGGGCTGTGCATCATTGACTTAACATGAGGATATCAGCAGATCCCAATAGAGGCCATTGGCTTCCATTGATTATCACAAAAATTCCAAAAATACACTATGACCTGAATCGATTGCAAAATTAATCATTTCACAATATGACACAACTGGTTTACTGTATCTCATCAAATGTGCAAATATGAAGTTTGCAATCGATTCAGGTCACACTTAAAATTAAAAGATTGTATATTTTTCATCATTTTTTCCCTGAAAAATGGCTATAGAAAAATGCTCCAAAAACAACTTTTACACTTCATCATACAGCTTTGTAAAACCAAAGATTATACTATTATATTTCATTATGTAGTAACATATTTGGATAAGATGTAGGGATCCGTAGGATGCAAATGGATTTTGACAGACCCAAACATACTTCCTGGTTTTGAATCTATGCCTCTACACTTCATGATTGATTTATGACCCTAATCAGTGGCCTATACATCAATACAGTGCTGAATATAGGTCAACAAGATACTTTTGTGCATATAAATGTAATAACTAAAACAGAATACTCATTTTGGAAAATTAGATGAATTCTTTTTTCTCATGGGGAGATCCCAATGCAGAGTGCATATGGTCCTTTACTTGAAGCGTTAGTAAAAATTGATATGCATGGAATTTGAGGTAAAAAATGGATTGGTTACATTACTGATTGATCAGGTTTTTTCCACTTGCTTTTAGGAACGTCAACCTTGGGGAAGATGTCTCCTCTTAGTAAAAGGAAGAAACAATGAACCCAGTATACAAAAGTCATGGTCTTCATCACTGTTTAACTGTGCATTTATTTATTCATTTATTTGCCAACACTTTTATAACAGTGGCACATGGATTATTACCCAGTGCGGCTAGATACAACTATACAGTATGAATAAAAATATACAAAGTCATGTATAATTTCTTTAAAACAATGTTATATGTAATCATAGACATAAATCTCGGGGCTTGTACAATTGGATTATGGCGTTTTACAATGCTGTCAAATAATCTAAAATAGTCTTGCCCCCATTTTGGAAAAGTCAATTTCTCCGTCAGATTACACTTGTTGATATTAGAAAATAAATCGGAGGGACATTGTTTACAAACACTGTAGAAGAAAGATTCACGTTCTTCTTTAAAATGTTCACACAACAGCAACCTATGTTGTGAGTCTTCAGGTACATTCATACTACAAAGTTTACATTTGCCATCACTTTTGCTCCATACAGAGTAATTGGATTCAAGGCAAAAATTTGCCATAAATACAGTGGTTTTTATCAGGACAATATGTTTTCTTTCAAGTGAAGTCCCCATGATAGTAAAATATCAATCCAACTCTCTAAAAGAAATTGTGGATTAGGGCCCCACTTTGGCACTTTAAAAAAAATGTAAGGCTTATTTTCTAAAAAGAGGATCTTGTTTTTCTCAATTTAAACATATCGGAAGTCTCCTCTGCACTATATTAACAATTTCTGAAAAGGGGATGGGTATTGAAATGCGTTAAAGTTAAAAACCACATATCCCATGTTATTTTCCCATAGGAAAAACTCGTGCTATCCATTGTTTTCAGTATACTTTTGGTCATCGAAAATTGATCTCTTCAAAACCAGACTTTCAATACCATTCTATTTTTGAAGATGTTTTAGACCCCTTGTTGAATAATATTTTCATGCAATAAAAATCAGAAAAAGAAGATCCTCTTTTGAGTAAATAGGTTCAATATTTCGAAAAAATGTTGACATGGGGACATAATTTTTTGAATTGTTCGATTCATATTTTTATCATCATGGGTACTTCACTTGAAAGAAAACATATTCTTGTAAAAAAAACACTGTATTTATGCCCAGAAAGAACTCGGTTTCGATATTTTAATGTTTTACAGTAGGAGCTTGGAATAATTAACGTTTTTTGCACATTATGAAAAGTTGATAATAATGGCTTTGAAATTTGTAACATATTTTGCCTAAACTTGTAAACAAAGACATTTACCATTTCGCCCCTCAACATTCACTTCACAAAATTCATAATTGTTTATTAAGATGAATTCATTTTGCGTCGTATATTTTATGTAGTGTACTCTGATATTGATTTGAAGTACTACTGATCTTTGTATTGTGTAAAGCGGTTCTTTGTTGTCGGGTTCTGTTCAACAAACATGATAAAAGACCAGGCATAGTGTGGCAAGTGATCTACAACAATTACTTTCTCAATTTAAATATGACATTTCTCATTACACAGTATGTTTATGGTGTTTGAACTGCTTCTTTATTCGGTACATTAATATTCCATAAATACCAAATAAAACAAACAATTTACCAAACCTTTACCCAATCTATCGAATGTTTTTTTTTATTTTATCAAATGTAATAATCTATACAATTTATATCCGCTAAATAGTTTCACTTGTTCTTTGTATTGACATTCACATTTGATATTTATACATGTATTTGTGTGATGCAGCGAATCAATTTGTTTTCCCTAACGCACGTATAATTCAATTAGTTATTTGTACATTCGGTATTTAAATTATTTATATTCGGTAAATACCGAATGCCACATTCGATAAATTTCGTTATTTTTCGATATCTTACGAGACTTTCAGTCACGTGATATATGTGTACGATGTAGAATAGCTGCGCGGCCATTTTGCAAATCACGAAGTCACGTGACAAAATATCGAACAACAACGCAAGTTATCGAATATTACTTTATTGCATTCGGTAAATAGCAAATTAGCTTTCGGTAAAATGCATTAACTATGTCATAGAAAAATAAACCATTTGGTAAATATAGGCAAACTCATTTCGGTAGGGTTCAAATAGAAATTCAATATTGTGCATATAATGTGTTACTTTTAAGGAATACCATAACAATTTACGCAAAAAATATCATTTAACGAATGAAATATGTAATTTAATGCACATAGTATTAAGTGATTGGCTATTTTGAAAACTTAATTTGCTGTAACAAACATATAAACGTTTTTACCGAATGGAAAAATGATTTAGCGAATATAAATGTTTCATATATTGAATATATTTGAATTTAATGAATAAAGAAGCAAAAATAATGCCATATATGTTATCTTCAACATTTTGTTTTTCAAAATGTTGAACCCAATTACTCAATAGAGGATCTTCTTTTTCTGATTTTTATTGCTTGAAAAGATTATTCAAAAAACTTTAAAGGTAGCATGGTATTGAAAGTCTAGTTTTGAAGATATCAATTTTCGATGACCTAAATTATACTAAAAACAATGGATTGCATGGGTTTTCCCAATGGGGAATAACATGGAATATGTGGTTTTAACTCCATCGTATTTCAATACCCATGCCATTTCAGAAATTGTTAATAAAATGTAAAAGAAACTTTGATATAATTGAATAGAAAGTCACAAGGTAAGGTCCTTATCAATAATTCAGAGAGTTGGATTGTTATTTTTACTATCTCGGGGACTTCACTTAAAAGAAAACATATTATTTACCCCCTATCACACCAAACTAGTTCTTACCCGTTCTTGCCAGTCCTACGAAAACGTCGTAAAGCGGGCTCAATCTGGCTGTGGTCGGGAAATATATCTGAAATAATTAGCTTCTTCGTCCTTAAACAGTCTTCAATACGTCCATCTCGTTCGCAGTTCGTTCAGGTCGCACCACGTCGGTGTGCAACGTCGTAGAAGGCGTCCCTTAGTCTAGAATGTCAACATGACCTGATTACAGAACGGTATGGTCGCCATCTCGATTCAAAATTCAAAAATCACATTCCCGTCTGAGAACGTTCATAAAGTTCGTAAATAGACCTTAGAAAGTTGCAGCTACGTTCATTCCGTTCACACACAGTTTAAAACCAGTTTTGAAGAACGCAGTGGCAACTTGTTTGGTGTGATAGCTATATTTTTGCTAACTCGTTCATAAGCAGTGTTAAATACGTTCTTAATCAGTTTAAACCCGTTTGCAATTAGTTCTACCTCGTTCTCAACACGTCCTCAGAGAGTTCAACTCGTTGTTAAAAAGTCCCTAGTAGGATTGAAGTACGACGGTTCCGTTCATAGTACGTCCAGCCCGTCGTTAGTACGTTGTCACTCGTTCTAATTGTAGAACATGACGACCACGAGAACATTTTGAGAATTGTCTATGTTCTAGAGGACCTACCCGTTCGAGTACGTTCGATGAAGTTTGTAAATAGATCCCAAACGGTTCATAGTAGGTCCAGTCCGTTCGTACACAGTTGAAGCCCGTTTTCGAGAACGTAGTGAGAACTAGTTTGGTGTGATAGTAGGGTTAACAAAAAAACACCGTAGTCATGACCAGAAAGTACTCATGGCGAAAGATATGACTGTCCCAAATCACTTGCCATACAACACCCGGTCTTTTTAATTGACTTTCACTTTCGCGTTAAAACCCCTTTGGGATAAAGACATAACCTTGCAACAAAAGCCAGGAATAAGAAAAAGGAGTCAGTAGGAATACCAGCGCTATCTGGCTAGTTCCGTGTTCTGATAATACGTGATGGCAAGCAGTAGCGTGATTACATCTACATTCTTTTTCGTTTTAGCTAGTCAAGAAGAGGGTACATGTGTCACGACCCTCGTGTGGTAGCGTGGTTTGGGGGTCGCAAACAGAATACAGTCTAAGAATCAATAGTTTGATTTGATGTTTTCATTAACTTAGTTTCGGGACAAGTTCAAGTAAAAGTTGAAATGTGTATCCCTATTTATGTGAACAACATCCGTGTTCACAGTGAACAACATCCGTGTTCACAGTATCATAACAAAATGTGATCAAATTGGGATAAATTTTGCGATGAAAATTTAGGGATAAATTAGGGATAAAATTTTAGGGATAAATTCTGGGATAAAAATAATTGGGATGAAGTGGGACAATTACGGGATAACAAAACCTGAATATAGACTAAGTAAGATTTGTCAGTTTTCAATGTAAGTTGTATGTCTCATAAAGGCGAATGGCAACAGACTCCAGTTTCTGAATGTGCCCAGTGTTCAGTTGTATCAAATAAGTATAATGTTAGGGTGTGAGTATAACCAGGTAGAAGTCTTAGCCACTGGGGGCTACAATGGACTTCGAGCTGTATATAAAGCTCACTGTTCACACTTAAAATGGGAGATTTTGTAAGAATTAAAGTAGGGCTATTTCAAATCAAGAGTCTGTCAAACTCATCAGGGGATAATATTACTTGTACACCATTTAAACAAGCAAGTAAGAAAACATTGGAAGTAAATGATGTTTGAGGTAACGACTTGGAACCAGGGTGAATGAAATTCTCACTAATATTCTCAATAAGACAAAGGTTAAATAAGAAAGTAAGATCCTGGATTGTACTTTAGCTTTGCACTATTGCATAGTTTCTGGGAAAATATATGTATGACTTATTGTGAGTGATTGTTATTCAAAGAAGCCCTTAGCAAATATGAGCTAAGATAAAGCTTAATGTTGCTTGAATGTTAGTATCACTTAAGTCACCTGGAATTTAGTCGGAATCTATTTTGAATCCAGAATCTACTTCAGATAAAATGAAAGGGGAATTTTCTAACATATATATAAATAATCGAACACAACAAGTGATATTCTGTGGATTTTCATATAATGTATAAAAACGACTCTATTTCTATTTACTAATCTACAGAAACATTACACAATTCAGTACTGTCGAGATGGTTTATCAAGTAAATAATCTCTCAAACCAAACATGCATATAACAGCACAGCTAATGGAAGTTCAGTTAAACAATTTGCAATAAAGCATAAAATGGGTCTTTTTCCAAAAATTGTAACTCAACAGTGCAATTTTATATCATCCCTGGTGGGGTTGAAATCAGCTCTCTATACTACTCACATGAAAAGTGGGACATCATTTTGCCACTATCAGACTATGGTACAATTGGCAAACAAATGGGAAACAGTATTTTAAAAGTATTCTAGTATCTATAATCAATGAATTAGAATGTGGTTAACATAGAATTAGACCAGACATGGAAAACTAGAAGGGGGGGGGTGTATTAAGTCCGAAATGGGCTTCGAATGACCATGACCCTTAAAAGTACTTCAATGATCAGTTGTTTGATAATGGTTCCATAAGCCCGGGATTTCACCTTTAAATTACCCAGAATTTAACATACAAAGGAGTATTTCTAGTATCAAATCCAGAAATCTCCGGTCACTTTCTTTATCAGGAGAGCTGTCAACACATCTGATAAGAAGTGTTCTTAGCAGCTCTAGTGAAACTTGATGCTATGTTGGTCTAATACAAGATGCAGCCTACTTGTAAATAAAATACGTTATCCATGTACGTAATATATGGTTCAACAAAAAACAGCAACTAAAAAACAACAACTAAATATGAGAAACTTATGTGGTATATGCCATGTTTATGTGTCTGATCATATAATCTTCAAATTATCCATCAATTTCTTAAGAAATTGGCGAAATTAAGGAAACCAGAAAACATATTTAATGAAAGGGCGGTGTTTATAGGCTGTATGAAATGCCCCTGCATTAACGCTCTCATATATGAGTTTTAAACAATAATTTAGTAG